AGACCACCGATCATTAATAATCATGTTTTGGAGACCACGTTTTAGAACTTTCAATCTTTTAAGTATGACAATGGTTGAAGCAAAATTTATTTCAACAATTGAGAGCATCTTCAAATTCACATGTTCATTAAACATGACCAATTTCACGGTGTGGTTTATAATAAAATTGTTAATGTCCACACAATCCAGGGCAATAATTGAGATCCAATTACACTATTCATGAACAAATTCATTGACTTCAGTGTTCTTTGGTGCACAAATATTTTTCAAAGTAAGATTAAGTGTGTGCACCACACAAGGTTTCCAAAAGATAGTGTTTATAACAACCCTCAACAAGCACTCCTACAAAAAGGTGCATTATCAGTGATCACTTGGACCACATTTTGAGGTCCAATCGCATGAATGATCTCTTCAAGCAAGTTGGCTAAGAAATATTTGTTCTTATATTCACCTTCACAATTAATTGCTTTCAAGAACATAGACCCATTTTCACACACTGCCATGAAATTTATGATTGACCTCCTTTGAGCATCCGTTCGACCATCAGAAACAATACTTACACCTTTTTCTTTCCGTGATTGTTTAGTTGGCTTTAACAACCTCTGAAGGTTTACTCGCTCTCTTTGAAGAATTGAAGTCCTCAACATATTATAACTAGGAGGGATATAGCCACTAATCATATAAGTAGCTGCAAAAGTATAAGAGTGACAATATTGTGGATTCCTTGCAAGGTGGAATGGTAGCCTAGTTGAGTAAAACATTTTTGCAATCTCACTATGTAACTGTTCTTGAGCTCCAACATGAAAGGCTTTCTTAAGAGCAGAAGTAACCTTTTTTTTTTTTTTTCGGGATCTAAGCCACTCCCATGCATTAATGACTGAAATGGGCCAAATCTCACAGTATTATTCACACTTGCACTTGAGGAAACAGTTTTGCTTGAAGCTGAAGATGGTGGTAGAGGAATTTGTTTGGGCAAACTTTTTTTCACTCTCATCTCAGCTTGATCAACTATCTTTTGCATTTTCACTAATATTTGCAGAGTCACTTTGAGGCATACTTGNCGGGATCTAAGCCACTCCCATGCATTAATGACTGAAATGGGTCAAATCTCACAGTATTATTCACACTTGCACTTGAGGAAATAGTTTTGCTTGAAGCTGAAGATGGTGGTAGAGGAATTTGTTTGGGCAAACTTTTTTTCACTCTCATCTCAGCTTAATCAACTATCTTTTGCATTTTCACTAATATTTGCAGAGTCACTTTGAGGCATACTTGAGCTCCATGAATTGGAATTTTTAACAAATGTGCCTTAACCCTATAATATGATCCTTTAAAACTTAATTGAGAAAAGTTGCATTGAAATTGAATATTTCCTTCTCATGCATCAATTTTTACTATTTTATAACATATTTCCATCAAGGGGCGTGGTCATCAAGTTCATTCCCACTGCCACGGCCATCCCCACTACCATTCCCACTCGCACCGGCAGAAGAGCTCATTTTCGTAAATCTTAAATAACAAATAAATGACTGTAAATAACATTTATCTAGATTCTAGGTTAAGGCAAAANATCATCAAGTTCATTCCCACTGCCACGGCCATCCCCACTACCATTCCCACTCGCACTGGCAGAAGAGCTCATTTTCGTAAATCTTAAATAACAAATAAATGACTGTAAATAACATTTATCTAGATTCTAGGTTAAGGCAAAACCCCAAAAATAAATAAATGTAGAGTTTACTAGATAACAAATGACTGTAAAATAAAAAAAAAGAAAACAAACCTAAATAACAAAATTATCTAAACCCAAATTCAATTAATAAAACCCAAAAAAAAAATGGCAAAAACCCAAAAAAAAAAAAANACAAAATTATCTAAACCCAAATTCAATTAATAAAGCCCAAAACAAAAAATGGCAAAAACCCAAAAAAAAAAAATGTCTAAACCTAAATAGCAAAATTAACAAACCCCCTCCCCTCCCAAAAAAAAAATAAAAAATAAAAAAAGAAGAAGAAAACAAACCTGGATTCAAGTTTGAGCTCAAGCAAGGATGTTCAATCGCAGCAAGCAACAAGGATGTTCGAGTTCGATCGCAGTGCAACAAGCAGCAGATCTGGAAAGGTTTGAGTTTGATCGAGGCCTTTTGTTGCCGAATATAGATGTCCAAGGCTTTGGTTCTAGATCTAATGGACTAGAGACTCTCCTCTTCTGTCTCTCTCTCTAATGAATATGGATTGGTGGGAAGTGAGAATGAAATGAACATAACACAGTTCGATCAAAGTCTTTTGTTTTGCCCTTTTTTTTTCTTCTTTTTTCAGGCCTAAAAACGATGTCGTTTTAGCTCATTTATTCTCTTTCTATTTTCGTTTCAGTTCCTTAATTTTGTAAAATAACAAATGGAACCCCGCTGTGTCCCCAAGTATTCAGACGTATCCGGTTGCGAAAAAGGCTTCTCTCCTATTCATGATACTTTTGGAAGTATCAGACACGTGTCCAACTGATGCGTATACGTGTCCGATACTCGTACTACACTCTCCCCCCCCCCCAAAAAAAAAAAAAAAAAAANCTGTGTCCCCAAGTATTCAGACGTATCCGGTTGCGAAAAAGGCTTCTCTCCTGTTCATGATACTTTTGGAAGTATTAGACACGTGTCCAACTGATGCGTATACGTGTCCGATACTCGTACTACACTCGCCCCCCCCCCAAAAAAAATAAAATAAAATAAAATAAAATAAAAAGTATTTGTGCTTCCTAGGTTTTGACATTCTAGTTAGTGGTGAAGTTCTGAATCAAACACCAGAAGGTCACCAGTTTTCTTAGCCAACCGGTTATCATGAAAAGTTCCACGGCTGATTTTAGTTATATACCTATCTCTATGAAAGGTCCACATTTTACCCTTCTAGTACCATTTTGTTACAAGTGATCCAAGTCTAGACAAACAGCTTGTGGACTAACGGCTAACATGAAAGCCTGGTAGTTCAGTGGGCCATGTGTCAGGGTAGTCCACCCACCACGAGGCAACATGTGGGCAGTTCAATGGTCCAATATGTAGGGTCATGAGCCATACTTTGGCCCACAAGGCCCGTCTGGCTAGCCGATTAATGCCTGTAAAGTCAGCCTTTCAGGAAGGCTCATGGCCCACCCATAACCCAAAGAAAGTTTTTTTTGTGAATTCTAGTCATTGATCATTAGACCATTGATTATTGACGGGTGCCTACCTAGTTGAGATGAACTAATCCTGCAGTAATGCTACTTATTTTCAACCATCAATGACAGTGGAATTCTTGTCAACAAATAATTTCAACTTTAATTCTCCAATTTATGATTTTATTACTGTATGAAAGTTTTTGTATTAATTATATTAAAATTAAGCCACAATTACCGCTCCTTTGGACGGGTCGGCTAGGTAGCCTGTAGGCCATTTTTTTATGGACCAACTTNGTTTTATTACTGTATGAAAGTTTTTGTATTAATTATATTAAAATTAAGCCACAATTACAGCTCCTTTGGACGGGTCGGCTAGGTAGCCTGTAGGCCATTTTTTTATGGACCAACTTGGGTCAGACTGTTGATCAGTCAGCAGCTCGATGAACTGGGCAATTGGCCATTCCGGGTGATTGGATGGTGCACCTGGTAGGCCCAACCCATTTCTAAGGTTTTTTAATTAAATAGGTGCAACATGAGGACTTAGAGGGCACCCATCTTATTGTTACTCTTGTGATTTGGTGTCCCGTTGCCCGTTGGTGAGGCTTAACTTGACCTGTTTACAGAAACTTTGGAAATTTTTTTTGTCATCTTCTCATTGTTTGGATTTTTGCTATTGGGATAATACTAAAGTGTGTCAACTATTAATTGGATTATTATCCCAAATATGCACAGGCCTTCATATGAATAAGAAATATGTTGTATTTTTTGAGGTTCCACTTGGTTTAAATAGCCATGACGTCTACTTTTTTAGTAGGGCAAATTAGAATGACTTCTCTATGGTTTTACCCATGACATATATCCCCTTACACTTTGAAAACCAAAACTTACCCCTTGTGGCTCTGGTCCAAATTGAAACCATTAAGTTTTCCATCCAAACTAACCACCTGTAAAAATGACTCATTTACATTACATTCAACCACTTCTTATTTCTTATTTTAGTTGGACCTTATTCCTGAGTTGAATAAAGTTATACCTAAATCCGAACAATCTACTCTTGCATTCATCCTCCTCCTCATCATCATTTTTCTCTCTCGCACAGCTCACACATACGAACAAAAACAACACCCATACACAGAGAACACACTCACAGTACACACAGCATGCAGAATTGCAAAATTGACCAGAAAGCTCTCTTCTGAACAGAGTTTTGCTATCTGGAAAAAAGTAAATGGGCTAAAGAAATAAACTGTCAAGTTAGGGAAATCTAAAATATGAATCTACTTACAGTTCCAAGCAGTCAAACCCATACCCATATCTCTAACACACAAACACCACTTGAAAGGTCAATCTCAAACAAAGTAAATGGGTAGTTCGTCAACTCAGTCCCACAGAACAAGCCAATCTCAACTACAGCCCGAACAATTCATGACCAAACTCGACAATCCACCTTCGTAAGAAATCTAGACCTTGGGAGATCAATCATTTATATGTTGTTGATGCGTTGTCTTCAAAATGTTGATATTATGTCTAGGTCTCTCTCTAAAATTCAGATTCAACTCTCTCTCTCTCTCTCTACACACACACACACACACACATNTGTTGTTGATGCGTTGTCTTCAAAATGTTGATATTATGTCTAGGTCTCTCTCTAAAATTCAGATTCAACTCTCTCTCTCTCTGTCTACACACACACACACACACACATCTGAACCAGAAGTGGGAGTCTCCGAATGACATATTGATCCTCTTGGCGTCTCCAGAAATGTAAGAGTTAGAAATAGGGTGTTTTGGTCATTGAAAATATAAATTATAGAGTGAAATAATTTCTTCGCTCACCAACACAATTTTTTAGAATGTGTGATGCACTTTTCTTTATTTTGGATGAAAATATAACTGTTTCAATTTGGTCTGAAATCGCTGGAGGTCGTGTAGATTTCCAAAGCATACGGAGGTAATGTGTTTTGATGTCAAACAATAAGTAGCTAATCCATAATTTTCTATTTTTAGTATTCATTTTGTGGTCAACATGAAGCTTTAGATGTGATTTGTAGTAGTGACAATGGAAATCATGTGATGCTACTTTATGCTCCATATGTTTACATTGATTGACAGGATGTATCCTGTAAAAATAATATCTGTTCTCAATATCTCTTAAAGGTTCCAGAATCTAGTGGCGCATTCTACGTTATTTTGTATGGTATTTATATATATCTTCAGACAATTGAGCAAAAGTCGTGTCTTGGATCAGGTATAAGACTGAGAATCGTGAAAAGCTGGAGCCTATTGAAGAAGTGACTATTGAGGTGGGAACTGCAAATATAACATACCTGTATTGTGTTTACCCCTTGAGATTGTAAGACTTTCAAGCATCATGTACTTAATTTCAGGTAAATGAGGAACATGTGGGGTTAGTCATGGAAGCACTCTCTCATCGGCGAGCTGAGGTTACTGACATGGGTCCTGTCCCTGGCAATGTTGGTAGGACTAGGATGTCTTTGACTTGTCCATCAAGGTTGGTGCTTGGTCCTATCCTTTTCCAGTTTAATTTTTGTTTGTTGCTCCTTACCTTTATGGTAACTTGAAGCAAAATTGCTTTCCTAAGAAAACACATTGAAGCAATTTTTTTTTTGGGTCTTGCTCTGCTAAATTCACTTCTTTCTTTTTCTGTGTTTATAGCACAAGTTATCTTCATTGTTAGGATTTATAATTTGGCGTCCTTAAAATTTGTTTCTTATGTTTCTTTTATTCTTTTACTATTATTTATAACTGTTTTTTTTTTTTGTCTGAAAAAAACTGTTGTTTTGATTATATATAAATACTAAATACAAGAAAGGAGGAAGGGCCTATGCCTCCATAAGGCCCACAAATGCATGATAGGGGGACAATGGAAAGGTCCATGAGGTTCCAGCTGAAACTAACAGCAGCGAAGTTTCATTTATATTTTGTTGCAATCTTTAGTAGATGAATAATTTTGTTTCACAAATCCCACTTTAGACAGACCAGTAAAAAGAGAAAAATGGTGGGATTATTGTTTATTCTAAAATTGAATTTCAATTAGATTTCCTACAACTTAGCTAAATTGATGCACAACTGATACCACTTGAATTTTTCCTGTGATTTGGATGATTTTAAGTTAATACACCATGATGCACTGAACAGAGCTGAACTCACAGTTGCAGAGGCTCACTAAAAGGAGAATTCACAGCAGCAAAGATACAGAAATGGAGTCCTGAGAGATTAAACCTACATATCATTATTGAAAGGAACAAAGTGAAGATGATCTAGAGTTTAACAAAACCCAAGAATGTCTTTCAAATTGATATTCTGAAATTAAACATCAACGGCTGCTCTGAACATCTACCGAGCAGTATTCATAAGAAAACAATGTTGCCGCAGTTGAGAAAAGACATAATTTCCATTAGTTAAGTGACTTACAAAATAATTTGAAATATCCCCATGATCAGCAAAGAAATGAATACCTAAAGAATCTTGGTGAGTGATTACATCAATTTACATAGGTTGGATAAATCTTGTCTTGAAGTTATTTTTCCATAGGCAAGTGATGCCAAAAAATGATTTCTGTCCCTTTTTTTTTTTCTTCCTTTTAAGTCTTCACTATTCAGCCAATCAGCATGCTGTACACCAACCTTAACTCATTAGTAGTAGAGTTTGGATTACTCGTAATGTGTTGCTCATCAATGGGCAGTGTATTTCCGAAAACAGGTTAGTATAATTTCCTAATGCCCTGCAACTTCCAGAAAAAAGATCCCATCTTTCCAACCCAATCATCATGATGGCTTGCTTCACATTTGGCAAAATTTTCTCACCTCAAGAACAATGGAAGAGAGAAAAGGGATACATTTTTTATTTCATGTGAATGACCTTATAATTATTTAAAGGGTTTGTTTGCTATATGTCTTAAACCTTGGGATGACGTGAATCATACATCTAATCTCTATCAGACCTGAGTTTTGTGCTTGCTGTCCTCTTCTCTTATGTCCACTTCCACCACAAGCAGCCGTGGAATTGGGACAAAATCTGCTCTGATTCCAAAACTAATGCATCAAACAGATTTAATCTTGCACTAGTTTGGTGAAATAAGACTTGACAGCAAAAAAATTCAACTGACGCACAATGAGAAATTAAAGGAGTGCACAATAATTGGGAGGAATGAAGTAAAGAAGACTTCTAGTACTTAATCACACCCAGGAATGTCTTTTAAACTGATATTCTGTGATAAAATTATCAGAGTTACTCATAACATCTGCTGCTGCAGTACATACAATATAACCCCCAATGCCCTGATAAAGGAAAAAGGCATACTTATCCTAAGTGACTGACAGAATTATTAACTTAAAGACAAGACTGAAATAGAACACTTACCCTTGTAATCAAATTTATGCGCCTGAAATACACTGCGGTGATTGTTCATACTGGAATAAATTAAAACTTCACTTATTGTTTTTACTAAATTTAAAATGATTGAGTGGTATAATTTTGTTTTCTTGTATGATCTCAGAGGGCTGGTTGGTTACAGAAGTGTCTTCAGTAGTGACACACGGGGGACCGGATTTATGCACCGCGCTTTCTTAAGTATGCTTGTTCTGCAACATCTCTTCAGTTCATTTTCTGTTTTCATTTTCTTGTCACCTAATTGTAATGCGATTGGGTTTTTGGGGTGGTATAGTTTTGTTAAATATACCCCTTGTCTGACTTGGATTAGATGTCACTGGGCAGGGAATTATGATCTAACACATTTTCGTAGTTCATCTTGCCTTGTTAATTGATATGATCATGCAACCTAAACCCCACAGCTCGGCGCTTCCTAATCATAGGGATTTACTGGGCCGAATTTTCAGTTTAAGCGAGCTTTATCCCACATCATTGCATCTTAATATTACTTGTTATAATTCAACTCGAACACAAGAGATTAGGCATTAATTAAGACTTGTCCCCCCCCCCCCCCCCCCCCCCCCCCCCCCCCCCAAAAAAAAAAACCAC